CAGGCGTTGTGGTGGGCACCTGTGGTCCCAGCTACTTGGGAGGCAGAGGCAGGAGACTCGCTTGAGCCCAGGAGTTGGAGGTTGCTGTGAGCTGTGAGGCCAGAGCACTCTGCCCAGGGGTACAGCTTGAGCATCTGTCTCAAAAAAAATTAATAAAAAATAAGTGTCTCAGCCTAGCAGGACTAACTCTGATGTGACCCCCACCACGTGGGGTGAGTGGAGGGTACTATACAAGTTTCCTGCCCTTGTAGGCTGCTCAGGGAATGCCTGGGGCTGGGACCCTCCCCAACAAGGAAACCATAAGGTGAGCACAGCCACCTCCTGGGAGAAGGGTCTGCCTGTAGATACTGCCCTATGGTGCTGCCAGGTCCCTTGGTGAGTTTGCACTCTTCCTTTGGCCACAGGTGCATAGGATGCATCTGGTTACCCTGGCTTGGTGGCTGCCAAAAGGCATTGGGCTGCCTGTGCCTCCCGAGAGGTCCCAAGCTCCTTCCAAACTCCTCTCCGTCCCATCTACTTCTGGGGCCAGTGGACCCAGCTTCTACATAACATCCATTCAGAGAGCAGGAATGCATAGTTCCTCATCTTCCCCAGGGGAGGCCTGTCAGAGTTTCCAGAGACTCACTCATAGCCCTCCCACCTTCCTCCCTATGTCCATTTCTTCTTGACGGAAGTGAAGAACCCAAGGCTAGGACTCTAGAGGACATGCCAGGAACACCAGCCCCGGGCGCTTGCTCAGCCACCCATGTGTGTCCATGTCCTGCGTTTAGAGGTGCTTGGGTGGCACAGGCTGGGGCAGCCAGGGGGCACTTGGGCTCTGGCCTCACCCAAGGAGTGATTGGCTGGTTCATCATCTCAGCTGGACATAGGAGGAAACTGAGGCATGGTAGGCTCATGTCCAGCGCCAGTGTCTGTGCTGTGTCCTCATGGGGGACATACAGAGCGAGGCCTTCAGGGGCCCCTCTACACTCCTTTCCCCACCCCTGCTATCCCTCCTCATGAGAGTAATGTCAGCTCCACTCTCCATGGCCACTACCCTGTTCTTGGCCTATCTTCACACACTCCCCAATCTCTGTCTCTTTCTGTCTCTTCTCTCTCTCTCTTTTTTTTAAAATATGGAACGCTTCACAAATTTGCATGTCATCCTTGTGCAGGGGCCATGCTAATCTTCCCTGTATCGTTCCAATTTTAGTATATGTGCTGCCAAAGCAAGCACCTCTTCTCTCTTTTTCTCTGTCTCTCTCTCCCTCTCTCCATCCCTCTCTCTGTCCCTGTGTTTCTCCTCTCTTTCTCTGTCTCTTTCCCTCTTCCTTTGTCTCTCCCTCTTTCTTCTCGCTGTGTCTCCCATCTCCCTCTCTCTGTGTCTCTTTCTGTCTCTGTCTCTCTCTGTCTATTTCTCATGCTTTCTCTGTTTGTGTCTCTCTGTTATACTCTCTGTGTATCTCTGTCTCTCTCTCCCTGTCTCTGTTTCTGTTTCTGTCTGTCTCTACTGCCCCCCTTCTATCCCTTTCTCTAATGTATTTTCCACCTCTCTGCTAGTAACTGATGTGACTTCTCAGCTCAGACCCCCTCCTGTGCCCTGTGTCTGCTCACTCAGCCTAAACCTCTTGTCACTACATGTTAGGCGGCACAGGGCCAGTCCATACCCTCCTTTGAGCATGGCCAGTTCCATCCAACCGATGTTTACTGACTGCATGGTCCAGAAGCACTGTCCACTTTGCCTCTTCAGATCTCCCTGCAGAACAGCAGAATCTTCTTCAGATAGAAGCTGACCACGGGCTGGGTGTAAGGAGGGGCAGGTGTGAGGGGAGCCTCCTTCACCTACCTGTGACCACCAGGTCCGAACCTGGAGCTCAAGGCCCTTCACAGCTGTACCCACCAGAGGAGCCTTCTCTGCATAGGGTCACAGTCACACTCCTAAAACATCCTCATCCTAATCCCTGGGCCTGTGGATATATCACCTCACATGGCAGAAGGGATTCTGTAGATGGGATTGATTGAAGGACCTTGAAATGGTGAGACTGGCTCCGCACCGATAGCTCAACCGGCTAAGGTACCAGCCACGCGCACTTAAGGTGGCGGGTTCGAATCCCCAGCCTGGACCCGCCAAAACAACAATGACAGCTGCAACCAAAATATAGCCGGGCGTTGTGGCGGGCGCCTGTGGTCTCAGCTACTTGGGAGGCGGAGGCAGG